ATTTAAGATCATTTACAATTTTAATAATATTTAAAGAATTTCGTTATTTTATAATACTCTTAAAAACTCCTGAATACTTTGTACAAAAGCTATGCTTCTATTAAAGCTTTTACTCAAAATGTGATTCTACGAAAGTAGTAAATATCAATTATAATTCAGACAACGTGAAAGAAAGGTAATGAACAAATGAAAATATACAAATATCAATGAGATCAATAAGAAACAAAGATATAATATTTGTAAAAAAAAAAAATAAGAATTAATATCTATCTTTCTCTTACATGATATTGAAGAACATATTCATTCCAAGCAAAAGCTGATGTGCCAGTATTTTAAAACTCTTTAAAAAGTAGAACCTACACAATCCTCCAGAGTGCACAATTCAAAGAGGATCTTGTACTTCATCACATACCCCTGGGATCCGCTTTCTGTTGCAATTAACTTAAACTTTATCCTTTGACAGTTAATACTGTCTAAGGTAGCTGCTCGTAAACCATAACTTTTTGTAAGGGACACTGATATTACGAGTTAATTATGATATAATTTGAAGAAATTTGATTTGAAGAATTAAACAAAAGCAAGGCCATTTTGATTTTCATCGTGTACAATACGAGCAATAAACGAGTAATTTAACTCGAACTCTTAGTCGTAATCCAATATTGTCATATTCTCACAACCTCTTTTTCTTTTATCATATATAATATTTGAAATATTCTATTCGTTTGGAATCACAATATAAAAATTGATTAAAATAATCGACTCACCAAGAGTCTACACTTTCTTTTTTTAATTAAACGTGTAAAATGGAAAATATTATTAATTATCTACTATCCCTCTTTTCTATCTATCTGACGACAGCAGCCACTGTTCGAATATTAGGCTCAAGGAAAGATCTATCGGCGGCCTGGATTGCTCAATTGATAGCAGCATTCGGTAAATGAAAGATCTGGCTTCGAATCTCGGACCAGCAATCCGATCGGCCTATTTTTTCTCCTTACAATAGAGAACGGTGAATGCCACCGGAGAACATATATGACATTAATTGCGGCCCATCAGATTCCATGTACTTTCTCGCTTTACATGTTTTCCCTGCGGCGTTCCAAACCACTTGATTAGTTACATCTTTAAACAAAATGTCTCGTTCATCGCGGTAAAATATTGTTAAAAAAATGTAATGACCAACTGATAGGAGATGGAGACAAAGTTTCCAGATTAATTTTGTTTGTGTTGAATTCTAACAATGTAGACAGTTTGTACATCTACCCACTGTACGCTCCCCTATCTACCAGCATGCAAAAGACAAATATTGTTAATTGTTTTAGTCATCGTGCAAGTTGGTTTCACCAAAGAGCTATCCCTTGTGAGATTAACATGATATACGTGGAATGTATATTAAAATTAAACAACAAATTTGAAATAATTATTTTAAATTCTAATTGTTGTTATCACTTGTAATTTTCTATCTTATGTAATGAAGATTACCAATGAAATTTATCAAGTAAAGTAGTATGAAGATCAAAATTACTTCAAGATGTTGCAAACATTAAAATTCCAATCTAATTCTGTTGCCTTCACTTATAATCATGTATAACACGATAACAATTGAAATAGAAAATTATTGCATGCAGCATTGAAATATACAATTCAAAGAAATACATAAGAAATAATTCGCTATTACAAGTATTTTAAACTTGTGAAATAAAATAGATCAAAATCAAGGATCTAAAATGGAATAATTAAACCATTGACCTTGCAAATATGCAAAATGTGTTTAACTCCACCTTGTAACGAATGGTGTTTTCGGAATGACTTATTTCTTGCCAGTTACATTCCCTCTCTAAATTCGTCGGATTCTACGAGAACGGTGTTAAGAAATGAGCAAAACCAATCTTCTCGCCCTCCAATTTCGCAATTCCTTATAAGCCAAGGTTTCTTTGCAAGCGTGTGCACGCGTACTACTAATTTTCTCTCAGTCTCATCGTGTGAAGAACCTGGCCCCGACTTTCTTCATAACCGTACATTCCACCCACTCTTTTTACGGTGGCGCGTGTTCGAGAAAATAGCATCTTCCTCTTCTATACCCCGTATTATATACCGCAAAATTCACCGGTAATGGAATTTGACAAAACGAAAAACTACGTAAATAATTATTTAACTTTTAATTTTTATATATATATATAGATATGCTGCTTTATATTAAAATATATCTTTCTCTATTTAAAATTATTATCTGAATTTATATGTCATAGCTTTTTAAAAATAAAAAGAGTAGGAATTTAATAAATATTCGAAGAAAGTATTGTAAAAGAAATTATATGAATTTGGATATTACTATAATAAATGAAAATAAAAGAAAAGAAAATCGATGATGCAGAAAAGATTATTAATATTCGAATAATCGAAGAATTATTGTATGATAAAATATAGAATTGGTGGGAATTGGTGAATAAAAGAATTATTGTTGATATAAGAAAATATGTTAATTATAGCTGTTCGTCCATTTCATAACCTCAAATTTCCGCTAAATATATCTAGGTTAAACAGGCTAGATAATTGGAGGTAATTAAGCGATTAGATTTATGTGACATTTGCATGAGACGTGTCATATTCCGGGTATTTCACGTAATTTTATCACCTGGAATATCTCGCTTGTTTTTTTAAACTATTAAAAAATATTTCAAAGTTGAGGGAGACGTGATGTAAATTATTATTTTCATACCATAGATGAACGCGTAAATGACGCATAGATCAACTTTATTTTTTTTAAGCGAAATTATATTTTCTAATGCGAGTACAGCACATTCTTCTATAAGAATTCTCTCCTATAAGAATTATTAATTTATAGATATTTAATTATAGTTAATTACTTTTTACATCAATTTAATTTATCGACTTTTGTAAACTTTATTATATATATATATATATATTACTTTTTTATAGAGAATAATAAGACACATATTCATATATTAAAAATATAATTCTATTGAAAAAAACAAAAATTCAGCTTCACGAGTTCTTTACACATCCACGAAAAAATTATTAACACGAGAATACCGATTCTATTCAACTTTTATTCGAAAAAATTCTTTTTTTAATATTGTAAAGAACGAGCGAAATTTCTATTGCGGGCGTAAAATTATGCGAAACATCCGGTATATTCTTTCTAGGATAATTCAGAAAAGAAAAAATTGTTACAAAAAAGTTCGAAATGCTGAAAAAAGATAACAACTCTTCTCGTATACGTGCACGCGTATACTAGTACTACTCAACTGAGAGACACTTCTCGAAAATCCTCAATAAAATATGAATAATTAAAATCACCATTATACAATATCATTATACATAGTTGAAAACTAGGATACGATGAAAATTACATTCGTGTGTAAATTTTCCCTTCAAACTTGTTCCCTCTATCGGAACTCGATTGTCCTAGATTCGACTTAATAATGCATTGAAAACATGCCAAGACCAATAAGTATTTTTCACTAAAAACGTATCACAGGAGTCGAGTCTCCTCTCGAGTCGAATAAACTTTCGTAAAATTTCGAACTTAATTAAACAATATATTCGTCGGTTTTCTTACGAGCCGAATACAGGGAGCATTCCATTTTCTAGGTATACGTATTTAGCCATATCGGATAATGAGATCCTGCGTCGTCATCCTCGGGGATTACGGGTAATACATTGCCAACGGCTACAACTCCCGACTTCCATTTTGATAAAAGTTGGTCGATAATATTTTCTCCCTCTCTCTCCTTTTTTTTCTCTCCAACTTCGTAACTCGATTCTCTGTTTTCGAATTAATTGATTGCGAAAGGTTTCTTTGTTCGAATAAAAAAAGAAAAAAGAAAGAAAGAGGGAGAAGGGTTGAACTACGTATCGTAGAGAAGGACGGATGAAAATTCTCTCTGCGGGTAATCATTCAGAAGAAGGGGGACGGAATTTAAAAATTACGAGAAACAAATCCTTTGCGAACGGAGATACCGGGCTAATGTACACACAGACACGTACACCTAGCCAGGTTGTACGGCCGAGGAAGATCTTTCAAGAGGAAAAGTTCCCCTTCTTTGCTTAACCTCCTTAACTTTTATAGACCGGCCCCTCAAACTTTCATACTGTGATAACTTCTACGTTTCGCTGCTGTATCGTGCAATTATTTTAGTTGTGTATGTATGTATATATATATATATGTATGTATATACGTACACACAGCGGAGAAGTATCCGACGTCACCGTTGAAAATTATTTTCGATGACACGGAAAAGCGTTTAAGGAAAAAGTTCTCTCTTCGACCGAGGGAGGGAGGGACTCCAGAGAAAGCTGGATGGCGGCGCGAGATTTTACTTCGTGAATTTTCGAGATCGTTTTAGCTCGTAATTCCCGATATCGATTTCTCTGGATGCTTTAATGCCACAATTTTGAAATATGATTGCTACGAGATAACTACGAATTTTCACGCGTTGATCGATTGAATGTGATGTATGATTTTGAATTAATGATATTAGTGGTGAAATTTGTCCTCTTCAATGAATATTGTTTTATTAATATCGAACTGTCTGGACGATGTTTTAGAAATGAATTAATAATACTATTTCTTTTTTTATAATTTTAAAATAGAAATCTAAAAATCATTAATACGATTAATTAATAAATTGTTACATTGAAAGAGATCTTTGTAATTTGATTTCGAATAATGAAAAAAAAAAAAAGTTTTCATATAATCATTTATTATTAATTACAAGATTATGGAAATTTTGAATTGTTATCAAATTCTTCTACAAGGAACGATAGCTTCGTATTATTAAAATGAAAAGTATGAAATCTCTTTCCTAAAAATCAAGATAAATACGCCAAGTAAAGTAAAATTTACCGAGTAGGAATAAATTCTTTCGAATCACCATCATCCCCGTTCAATCAACTCAAATAACTTCCTTTCTCCGGCCACATTCCATTGAAAACAACACTAGTAAGCGTATTCGAATCAATAACGTTAGACACCGTATATAGAGACGCTCTTAAACCATTAATTTCACGGGTTTCCCCTTAACTGCGGATTCGATAATGACGCGTGGATTATAGGTATCACTTACCGCCACGTTGTTCAGGGTGAATGAGAGATGAGCCGGTGGCTTCGAGGGTGGTAAGCTACAATTTGCCCTCAAAGTGTCTCCGACGTCGTAACGTTCACGTTCCGATACGATAACAGGCTTCACTTTGGGCAGAGCTGAAACATAATAATTCCATGGGTGTGTATCTCTTCCACTCATTGTCAGCGGCTCGATTGTTCGCGCTTCGTTCCAACGATACGAGCAACATTATTCGGCTATTCCGCTTATCCTATCCGATATTCATAAGAAGCAACGTGGAACAGATTAAGTAGTTGGTTTTACGATGTTTCTCTTAATTTATATGGTTGCACGAGCAGCGTAGAGAAAGCGCTTGAGTGCAAAAATTTTGATATTTATTACTGTTTTAAAAAGCTTATGTTATTGAGGATGGACTTTTGTTTTGATAATATTTTAATAATATCGATGCTCTTATTTTGATCTAATTATTGCAATTTATAATTATCTTTTGGCGTTATTTGTATTGTATATTGGAAGTAACGAAAATGGAAAATTTAAAGTTTAAAAACAATCTTGTCTTTATGAATTGAGATTGAATTTATAATAAATGACATTTCTCATTTCCTCCATTATCTCTATCTGCGATGAAATAAATAATCGATATGATGGAGATTTCAAGAAAAAGAGGGGGAAAATAATTTAAGAGAGATAAATTACGAGCCATTAATAAAGATCGCGTGAGTGAAACGATGCGAAAATTCAAGATGGAATTAAACTTGATTGTTCGAGTGTTCAAAGTCACGCGCGTGCAGTCTTATAATTCGATTATTTAAATAGCGGTTGATATATTACGAAGAATATGATGCGATTGCAATCCGAAACCAATATTAAAATCTACGAATATGAATATTCTTGATAACACAAGAAATATCAATACAGTTTGCATCGCCAAATGATGATTATGGAGCGAAATTATGCAGCCATTTTCTCACCAGCGTGTATACATAATGAAATACATATCTCGGCAGTGCCACCATCGACGGTGGCCACGGATGGAATTAATCTCATTTACACCGCCATTTCGACGACTTAATTTTGCAACAAAAAATCTCTTTGTCGATTAAACGAATTGTGTTCTATAATAATAATTAGGAATAAATCTAGTATTTTGTATATTTGTAATATTTTAAGTGACTCACATTCTTATAGTTCTTTATCATTTACTGTTTTTCCCTTTTTTTTTTTTTTTTTTTTTTTTTCTTTTAGATAAATACATTGATGTTACTAGAAATGATGTTTTTCTTCTCTATATATATTATATATTTTCATCAATGTTATTCGATTTTATTCAAGTCAATTTATGTTTACTTTTTAATTCACTAAATTTTTTGTCCTACTATTTTACGAACTTAAGATTTCTACACATTCATTTTCGATATAAAATGTACAATTTTTTTCTTTCGAATATACGAAGTATGCAATCATGTATATTTTTGTCCATTATTATTGTAAATTTCATCACAGTTGAAATGATTTTCTGGAACGCGAGAGAAAAAAACGACCATTAAAATCCACGAATCGATTGATTCGAAATAAACGAGATCTTTCGTAGTTCAACCGCGTGCGTTCGACTTTCCATTAAGTATATTGGATTTTCGATCGCTGTCGACAAATCTTTCGAAACAATCCGAATAATGGTATAAAGTAGGTCGTGGTATAGTTACAAAATATCAACGATATAAGTTGCAGCAAGAAGAAGAATAACAGAAATTGGTCGAGGAGATCGTAACGACACTTGTAACGGATCTATCGTGATAATGAAACTGTAAATTGAACATTCGCCATAGAATCGTACTCTCTCGTTTCTCGATCAAAAATAATAGAAACTTTTGAGATTTTGAGATTGTTAGAACAATGTGGAATAATTTGGAAATTATTACTTTGATAAAATGTTCGAATATCAGGAAAGCATTGCTTTGTATTTGAATTATGATAATTTTCGTAAACTTGACAAGAGAAAAGAGGGAGATAAATAGTTTTGTAAACAAGGTGGTGGTTTCGGTTTATTGATTTATATGTCTCGATAAAGTAGAGGCAACATTCGTATAAAATGGACGTCCGTGTACCATCGTTACATCGAAATCATGTTGAATAAAACATTCAACATTGATCAATGGAAACACGTCGCCAAGCAACGTGAATAATCGTGGCAGTTAAATATTCGGGATAAAATCGTGTTTTCAAAGTACCAATAATTGAGAATTTCCGCAATTTTCAGATGGTGAAATAATACTAATAAAAATAATACTCTTATAGTATTACCGAGTTAATCAAGAGTTCGTATATATTTGAAATAAAATTCATGGTGAGAATATTTCGCAAATAAACGAAACGAATATTTATAACGATAAAGTTGAACGAAGTAAAATAAAGTGTTGGAAAGATATTAAAATTGTCGTAACACTGCGAAGAGTTGAAATGTAAACTTATTGCTAAACGATTTTTTAAACAACGAGTTGACGAAGCGAAAAAAGTAAGAATTAGAAAAATATTTTCGATCGAATAAAAATCAAAATAATTATCCTACAAGAAAAGATACGACCAAAATATAACGTGTAATCAATATTGCTCGATATTAACAACATAAAAATATCCCCCAAAAAAAAACAACACACACACACAAAGAATATCATAATTCAACTCCTTATAATTTTTTAATAAATACAAAAGAAAGGAGAAAGGAAAAAAAAATACTTTCAATGAAACGTGAATCCAGATAACAGCACGATTATAATTTTATTACCCACAACACAATTTCCCTTAGAGATAACCAACGATAACACCAAGAAAATGAGAATTGCCTCTAATTAATCGTGAGAAACAAAATAGTATTGGTACAACTCGTTTTACCCTCCGCCAATTGTGATGTACACGTCGAACGAGGTCGCGGCCAATAAGCGAGGGTGTTTAGACCGGCCATTATCGCATTCAGTTTTACAATCGAGGGAATCCACGGCGCGTGAACATCGCCAATTATAACACGATCCTTTAACTTTATCTATCTAACGAGCGACAGCTGAAACTAGAACCGATTACGGGCGAAGCGTGGCGAGGGAAATAACCGTTTAACCCTCTCTCACCTTGGCCGGTGATAAACCGGTGATTCGCTGTAACGATAGAACGAAGTAATCGAATTTCAGTTATGTTATCGTCTTCCCCGTATGAATGGTTTCCTCTAACTTGATCGCTCTATACATACCCAGGTATGCGCGTACCCGTTTTGCGCGCGCCAACTGCAAACATGATTTTACATTTTCCAATATAAACGAATTTCGTGAAAGGGGAGGTTGGAAAGGGTAAACGAGATCAAACAGTTCCAAACGGGAGGGATATGAAATGAACTTTGTCCTGGCCGGTTTAACGTCCGCCGCGTTTTGGAGCTGTCGCACACTTTCTCGCTTCCGCTGTATTGTAGTGTTTGTCTTCGTCGCTCTCGGTTCGAGGAACAAGGAGGGACTTATTCTATTAATGAACTAACCTACGTTTCGACGCGTGTTCTTCGTGTCATCTGAATTATTTGATCGTACGCATCGGTGTAAAGTAGAATTAAAAAGAAATGTATATATGTATTTTTAATATGATATTCGTATGGAGCATGTTGTGAATTTTGAGTGTTTAAAGAAAGTGGAGAAAGTATAGTTATGTATACTAGTTGAGAAATAATTATGAAGTTGAATAAAAGAACGACAATGATGGAGTGATTTTTAAATCGTAAAAGAAGTTTATTTTTTGAAAATTTTTTGTTTGTTCAAACGAAATCACCACGCTTTTTATTCTAATCTCATCAATTCAGAGTACGTTCTATTAAGACGCTGTACGAATTTTTTCAAATTTTTAAAAAGTTAATTATTTTATAAAAAAAAAAAAATTCTAATGCATTGAGAATGATCGAAATAGCTCGTGTACAAATTTGTAATTCAATATAGTTTTTTCGGTTAATATAGATTTTCAGCGACAGGCTGAAAATTAATATCGAGAATCAATTCTCGAGTGACAAAGGGATGAGGCATCGAGTTACGATTTAAACTGAAAGTGCCGGTTTTTCAATCTTCGATATTTATGACGAGATGAACGGGGCAGAGGTTCAGATAGAAATCGATATAAAAGTCGTTTCACGGAATCCGGGAGTAAGTACGATTTTTCTTCGACTACGTGAAAACTGCGGCAGGCCAAGATTCGTTTACTTTAAGAACATCCCGCGGTATTATCGTAAAATATGAAATTCATATCCGTACGGTCTCACAAAGTCTATCTCCGCGAAAAATTTCTACCTCCTCGATCCCAAGTGGTGCTAATAAAGAACACCACTTCCATGAATATTATTCTTTAACCGATGGTAACAATTTTTAACAAGCCTGAAGTATCGTGTCTCCTTTCGATCTATTTTAAGACATCGTGATAACTTATGACCTTTAATCCTGCGTTTGCTTCGTTTACGCCGAACTATGGTGACAGCAGTTTTATGAAACTTTTATGAATGAGTATAATGGATAAAAGTTTTTACGTTACTCCCAGAGAGAGAATACTGTCGTTTTCTTTATTTTCGAAAGAAATTGGGATACCGTCGAGAAAGTAAAATTAAATATTATTTTAATTTGTGATAGGGGGATCTTGAAAAAAGAGAAATGGATTAATGTGATAAAATTTTTAAACGTTATTCAACGAAGAATTTTGTTGATTTATGATATTATATTTTTCCACTTTGTAAGAAAATTGAGATATCTCAATTTTAAAGGGAAAAAATTAAATGTTTCCTTAATTTTAATTTGGAATAAATTTATAATACATGCGTTAAAGTTTATTTCGTTATTTTTTTTTTTAATTATATATTTTTGTTATGTAAAAAATCATTCGTAATATGCTTGCAATAAATTTGATTGCCAATTCTCTCTATTTCAATTATCGATTGTGTTCGGTTCAATTCGGATAATCCAACGTAATCAAAGGTAGATGTAACCGAGGTTGTCTGATCTAGTCTTAATCAACCTAAAATGTAATCCAGCTTAATATGCTTAACATGTCTGATTAGAAACTGCCTAACTTCATTCTATAGTCAAGACGGTTATGCGCATCATCATTAAATTTTCAATAAATGTTG